GTATGATGTCAATAACTTCTAAGGATCTGTGGAGAATATGAACAACCACATACAATCTGAACAAGCTGAACTAGTGGAAATCATCTTGCTGCATGGGTTTCTTGACAGCATAACGAACAATACCCCTGTCATCACAATAAACCCTACAACTTGAAAATAAGGCTGAAAACACTGCAAACACCAGTGGATTTATGAATAACTTCTGAGGCTAAACATGGTAAGCTATGGAACTGATCCACTGCCTAACCACAAAGTCCTGCTCATGGAGACTCCCTCATTTCACTGTTGCTTCACATGCCTTCCTGCGGACCCTATAGTTTTGTGCTCTCCTACTCCCTGGCCCATGTAGCCTGAACTTGCATTTACTGATTAGTAAATGGGACTGGCCTAGGACAAGGTCACTGGGCCAGAGAAGGTCTGTGCACCAGCTAGTGCAGCCCTGAAATGGTGCAGCAAACGCTGGGTTTCCAGACCTCAGAGAGGTACCAATAAATACATAAATAAATGAATGAATAAAAAGGAGAGAGAGTTCAATTTCTCAAGAACTACAAAGAAGATATCTGGAAAAAAAATACTGCTTCATCAGGTAACAGTCTTAAAACACACTCTTCCAAATAAAATTAACACTCAAAGGTTTAGACAATCCATGTGTAACATTATGGAAAGAGAATAAGACAGACCATTGACTTAGGAACTGTCTGTCCAACAGCAGAAGCTTGTGGGAAATGATCCCAAACTTCAACGTGTGATGAAAAGACATTATAGAGCTTCCTACATCAATGCAGCACTAGTTTAGTCATTTGTTATTTGATGCATATTTGGGGTAAACTACCAGGAGCTCTTAGGCCAGGTTCAGCCACGAGATCTATGGAGTTTTTGCTGTGGTCAGCTCAGTTCCTGGAGTACATAAGTAATCTTATTTTTACTTCTCTTTATTTTTTCCCCTTGTGGGCTCTAAGTGCTCATTATTTTATCAATGTTAACGATGGAACATATGAGTAAAATTTCCACAGGCATCTAAATGACTTTAGGACAATAAATCCCATTGGCTTTGGATTCTAAGTCAATTAGATGCATTTGAAAATTTTACCTTTTATCTGCATGCTTCACTATTCAGATTTATTAACCAATCATTTAGGAAGGAAGGGGCCAGAGCAAAAGGATCCCCAAAGTGTAAAATTTACAACACTGCTATCTATCCTTACCAATTGCTCAAGTTTAATTCTCTAATTTAATTCATTAATTAAAGAATATGCTAATAGACTGAAAAACTCAGGCAAAGGTTTCTCTCTGAGCCTTCTCCATCTTGAGAACCCAATTCCTAACAAAATACACACATCAAGCATGAAAGCATTGCAATTCTTTTCAGATCATAGCTTCTGTTGGTACAGGAGGACTCTTCCCTGTTGAATATACTGTTGAACAAACATACAAAACTTCCCTAAGAAATTGAATTTTCAGAGTTTACATTTCTCATCAGTTCTCTGGCCCGTTGCATTCCATTGTCAGCAAGTTCATTCCAAATATTCCATCCTGGGTTATTTTTCTCTCTTTTAATGTCACTCATTTTATTTGATCTCTATGTCCTAGTCCTACCTTAAATAATTCCTCTCTATTTTTGCAAAGATTGAGCCAAATGGAGAAAAAGGCTAAAGGACTTAGAAAACCATCTCTACTGATTGAAATGTTTGTGTTTCACTGTAATTCCTTTTTTCCATACTGCTGACATCTCTGCAGGTAGCTTTCTTGCCTCTGGGCAACAGGGTCATAGGTTCATGCTACAGCAAAGCGGGAAAGGCTGGAGAACTTCCTTTCCTCTTGGCCCAACACTGCATGTGTGCTATGCACTATATTTCTCTACTGTTCCCATCTGCTACATAAACATTTAATAGCCCACAACTGTGTTGAAAAGCTGATAAATTCTGACACATTGGCCCATTTTCTCACTTAAGCCTACAGTACGAAATAGTATATGGCCTTCTCAGCAGGAGATCATATTTAGGTCTCATCCTTATTTCTCAATGTATTTTCAATATAAACTCTTTCAGATTCAGGGTTGAACATCTTACAGCAACTATGGACCTCACACTCATGATAAAAAAGAAATCAAAACCCCCAAACAGCATTGGGATTATTGGTCTGTGAACATTTCTGTCTATTTACAGTAGATCAGAATTAGTAAGAGAGAGAGAATGGAGGTTTTATAACATCAATTTAACATTAATTACCTAAATCTCTTTGAGGACATGTAACAAAAAGCCCCCGACATTTGTGTCACAAAGATTATTATAACATATTGCCAAGTCATAGCATCGCTGCACTGGTAGATAGAATTCAAATTCTAATCCAGGCTAAAGATGCTACAGCTGTCACCCTTGCCCAGCAAAGCCCTCTTAGGTTCAAAAGTTAGCCGTCCTCCTGCCTGCCTGCACCAGATCGGTTCGTGATCCCTAGAGATTACTAATCCCGACTTCTCTGCACACAGTTGACAGGAAGAATAAAGCTATTGTGCCTTCCTAATAATTCAGGCTAATCACATATTTATAAAAGAAAACTAGGAACAAGTGATTAACTCCTTCCAATTCAACTACTGATAGTATAGAGTTAATACGGAGGCAGCTGGAATAGCTTTAAAATGTGTTTAAATTTTAATGCAGTTATAAAATTATAAATGTTTAAATAACTAAGTTTTGGATTAGCTTAGTTGCCCAATATTGCTCACAACTGTCACCAAAGAAACATGGAAACGCAACAGAGGTTTTTATTTTGGACATATGTATTTAACCTGAAATCACAGATATAATTCATGGCAAGTCCAGTTCAGGTGTTCACCCCTTCTGAAGGAAAAGGATGCAGTAACCATTTGAAATAGATAATTCGTATATCCAGGATATGACTGGAATCAGTACAATATAGGACAGATTTTCATTCTTATCTTAAATGTATTGAAATGCTGAGATTCCTAGGGTAATTCTAGACCCCAGTGTGTGAGGGGTCCAAAGAGATGCTACTCTTTAGTGTTTACTAGCAGTTTGGTATTGAAAGAGTACCAGTAGACTTCAAAAAGGACAAAGTAGAAAAGCCTCAGAAAAGCAGAACCCAATCAGTTGTCCCAGCACATCATGGGTTTAGGCAGGAGCTGTTCCTCTACCCTTATATTCTTGGTATTTCCTGGGTCTCCCACGGAAACTGTTGACTCACTCCTGACTTTCTCAAGTTCCCAATCTAGGAGAGGCTGAGCAGTGCTTGGTGTCATCGGTATGTAACAAAGTCACAGGCACACAGCACCGTTCAAGAAAAAAAAGCATAGTATATCAGCAATTGGGGCCCATGGCACATAAGGTCTTCTAGGAACAGAGCAGGAAATGGTATATTTAAAGAAAGCAATATGCTGGAAGAAAATGAATTACTGAATCCACCCTCATATTGTCCTGTCCCCAACAGCAAGCCATTTAAAACAGTGTCTTCTCTGCAGTAACACTTTTAAAAATAAAGTGATATGCATATTTTTGTTGTTGAAAATCTTTACTTTTATCAGGCACCAGACACCATGAATATTGTCAAAAACTAGTAACTTTTGGATTCTTCTCCATATACAGACAATCTGTTCAGGCATTCAGAAAAGGAATGGCGAAAACTTTACTAATGCTTTGAATATTAGCCTTTAAGCTCTGTCTAAAATAGAATGAAAACATAATATTTGTATGGAGATGCAGCTACCTTTCAGATACTTCCTTCCCTTGGTCCCAACTATATATTTACTTCTATCTCAAAACTGTTTGTTATTTAGGAGAGGGAAAAAGTGAGACAGACTAGCAAAACAGGATGAACGTCAGAATACCAAAGAGCCCAGTCCTCTACCAGCAGTTGTGCTGCTAACAGGGGAGAGGTGAGGCTGCGCATGCAAGCACAGCTACCTGCTGGAAAGGGTAAGATGTCTTTATGGGATGAAGGAACTGCAGGTTCAAATCCTTGCTCTGCCTGACTCTTTCACAATCAATATTTAATAAATCTTAGTTCAAACTGGTTCAGAGCAAGGACCTGAACATAATCTTCTACATCTAACAAAATTTTCAAAGAGTCTCCATTTCATACTGGATGAGCAGAACTATGTTGATACCTCAAAAAATGTACTGAAATTTCTGTTTTCAAGCCAGCTTCATTTCAGACTAAGATTTGCAGAGCCCTATTTCATTTCTCTGTATGTATCACTGGCCAGATTTATAGCACTTTTCAGTAGAGACTAAGACACAAACAGGAGGCTCTGAGATGCTACAGCTGAATCAGGCTGTTTTAACTAGGAAAAACAGTGTATTTCTAGGTAATGTTAAAATCACAGTGAAGAGAAACAGGTACAGCTCTAATGTAATTTAGCCAGTTGAAGTAAATCTCATTTGTTTGTCTTGACCGCTAATGGGTTAAAAAACAGTTCAGCACTATATTCACCTCTTATTCTGACGCTGCCTAAAGAAAGGATTGTTTCCTTTACTTTTCCTTTTTCAGTCATCCTCACCCCGGAAGACTGTGAATTTGTGTGTGAATGTTTTTCTTCTAACCCCTCTCTCTCTTCTTTTATATGATTCATGATGAATGCTTATCATCCATTGAGTTGTTTGGCATGGGCATACCCAAAGAAAATAAAAGACATTTCAAAAAAAATACTAAAAACAAAAGCTTACAATGACCTCTTGGTATGAATGAGCAGGAGAAGAAAATGACAATTGAGGAAAAAAGCTCTTGTTTACAAACATTTATCTTTAATTATTAACTATTTATGAAGGAAAATAGCCACATATACATGATTGGCAAATTGGCTTATGTTTAAATAATGTGTCTAAAGTTTGACTGAGCACAGAGGTTCATCTTTAAATAAACAAATGGTACCATAATGTTATAGTCATTAAATATAAACAAGCAGTGGTCATGGTACCCGCTACACTAAAGTTGTACAGAAGCATCTGAGTTTCCTTAAGCTCCTCCAGTGAACTGTGAAGAGGTTCATATCAGGGAAAGTCACTGAAATACATTATGCTCACAGCCTTTCCTTTCATTGCTTCTTTTCACTCAGTAGCTGAGCTTGCTGGTGAACTGAATTTGCTGGGAATGGAAATAAAGGAGCATTTCCTAACACTGTCAGCACAAATAGGTAACCTGGGCTCTCTCTCCAAATATTTCAGCTTTTCGGCATTCACTGCAGATTCTCACCTAACATGCCTTGGATGAGATACCCTGAGATGCAGCAGACAACAACAGAAACAGACAGGTGAGCAGACTGTTTTGTTTGGTTGATTTGTTGGGTTTATTTCTGTTCCTGAGCATGTTATTACGAACATGAACTGCGGTCCACTAATGTCTGTTGGTACTGAACCCCTCCCTCTCATGGACTTGCACCGCCATGCATATTGTCCCTATTTCACAGCTATAAGGACCAACAGATTTTCTTTCTTGCAGAAGAATTTTTTATTTGCTCTTCAGCGAAGTCAGGGTAAAAAGATGGTGCAACCAGATCTGAAAATGCTGAGAGAGACTTGGTAACTGCAATGGGAGGAATATTCCAAAAACAGAAAATAACGAATGCCTGTCAGCCTGGACCAGATTTCTCCTATGATCAAACTGCTGTTAGGAGAAGCTGCAGACACTCTCCAAAGGGTAATATTAAGCTCTGCTTGCACGGTTGGAAATTTAAGACTTAAGAAAGAAGTTAAGAATCTGCTTCTTCACAGCCCCCTTCCCCACCTCTAGCTTTCCTAAATCTTAGTCCCATGGTGGTTAGCTTTAGCCTTTTAAAGGGCACAGTTGTAGCTGGTTGCAGTGAGAGGAGCTGCCTGAGGGCAGCTGTAGTCCATGGAGAGCCCTTTAGAGTAGGACTACAACCCTGAACTGAGAAAATCAGACCTAAAGCAGAGTCTAGAGCACTGGGGTCAGAGTGTCCCTCTTGCCAGTCTTACTTAACAGTTGGTTTGTGTTCTCAATAGGGTGGAGATCTCCAGCCTGTAGTATACACAAGATGTCCAATGCACAGTATGCAACAGGTCTGACCTGTCATTCGTCTATACTTTGTGATGATATTTCCATGCATATGAAATGAGAGTGAAATGCTGCCGTGGCATAATTACCTACCTTCTTATGCTCATGGCAGTCTACTACTTTGTTCTGGGCAATGGTAAATAATTTGAAAAGATTCAGAAACATAGAGAATCAGATCTTAGGCATTTTAAAAACTCATCAGACCACACTGCAAACAGTGGAGTCTGCTATGGAAAGCATTTTTAGCTTGGGGAATGCAGATGAGAAAACATAGGGATAGAGCAATTAAAAGTCTTGGTTCCCCCCTCCCACCTCCAGCATATGGCAGAGAATTGGACCAGAATCAAGCAATGTCTCTACTCAGTGGAGTCTGACTTCTGACCTCTAAGACAATGGAGTCACAAGCTATCCTGAGACTTGATTGAGAAGCCACTTCAACATTTCCATAAGTCATTCTGCCATTGCAGATCTGTCACAATTTTGTCATAAAGTTTGCAGAATTCTGTTGACATTGTGTCATCTCAATAAATGCAAAGGGAAAAAAAATGAGTCGGGGCAGGTGCGAGCACAGATTTCAAGTCTAATGCGTGGGCTGCTGCATGTCTTCTGACATAATCTAGGCTCTCATACTTGATGTTTTTCTGGAGCCGCGGTGAACTCTTCCATCCTTTCAAGCGATCAACCTCATTTGACTAATTTGAGAAGAAAAAAAAAGAAAAACACTTCACTTCCCCTCGCAAAGAATCCTCGGCCAAGTTGGATCTTTAAAAAAAGGAACTTAACAATTTGGGGCCTGGTTGTCATTTACATGAAGGTCACTTCACACTGATCTGGCTGTGTAAACGGGCCATAAGTTACTTCTACACCCACTTGAAAGACCTCTTATGCTTGCCAGAATGATGTAAAATGGCCTCAATTTAAGTGAGAATTCAGGCTCTTATTTTTAAAGCACTGTCCCTTTAGGGAGATGCATCAGGCAAGTACATCATATTGCACTAATTATAATTATTTTAATGGAAGCCTACAGCTTACGGAAGGCAAACAAAATGGCCGCTAACAGCACTAAAGTAAAAGCACCCAGACCAGAGTGGGCACGTTCCATAGCAGATGTCTCCAGAGCCTCCAAAGCACCTGAATAGTTCCCCACTCTTTAACATTGGATCTGCTCCACTGGCTGTTCAAATGCTTAGTTACCCATAAACACGCTGGCAAGATGAAACCTTTTAACATGGAAAGGCCCACTGCACCAAGATGTGGGAGATCTGGTGGTGCTGAGCAAAGTCGGATCTTTCCAAAGCTGTGCTTTTTCTCAAATGTGCTCAGTCCAGCTGTGATGGGAAGACTTTTGTGTGACCAACCCCACTTACATATTAATTGAGAACTAAAAACACACTTTTCCATGTACCAGAGGGCAGGTGCTATGTGACTTACCTTGCACAGAGAAGTCATCAGCCGGGGTGGTGACTTTCATGTTTATGCTTAATAGGGACCAACCTGAAATGATCGATATCAAATGGGCTAATTAATAGGCAACAAAGAGTAAGAAGCTTTAGACATTATAGAATTGGTGACATTTAACATCAGCATCTCTGGGTTTAATAGTTTTTTGCTTAATCTCTTAGTCACCCAGTTGGCTATATTTGAAGATTTTTTATTTTTAATATTCTTTGTGCAAGTCGCATTTGTGACCTGGATTCTTTGTATGGCAGACAGGATTAGATAAATTAGGAATGGCAAGAAATACAAATGGCAAGAAATTAGAATATAATTTCTTCAGGTAGAGTTTGGTGACTTTACTGAATTTAATTTCACGCTAAACACCAAAGAGGGATTCGAGAGGTTAGAAACATAGAGCTCAAACTGACAGAAAGAACTGTGTGAAACATAATTTGAGCCCAGTCCAGACTTCAGTTTTGTGGGCCCTGGGAGAACTAACACATTCAGATCCCTAGGCAGATGCCTCCTAAACCTCCATCACTAATTCTCCAGAAGCCTTCTGTTGTTCCCTCATCTCCATCAGGCTGAGACAAACCTCGCCTCTGCGTAGCTCCCAAAGCAGGCAAAACCAAATTGTGTCTAACTTTTGGGAGGAGATGGCAAAAACAAAATCTTCATTAACTAGTTTTAATCAGCATCCACTAGTCTTGCTTGTGCATCATTTCAGTCAATGATATAATATTTAATAAAAATATTCTATTTTACAATATCATACTGTGACTTTTAAAACTAAAAGTCTCTATAGAGATACAGCCAAAAAGACAATTTGTCCTCCCTCACATGCATCTCAGCCATTTTGTATTTGACCTTTATTCCCCTCATTCTTAATTTAAGGTCTCTTATTTGTCTCCCTAATTAGTGGGCTTATACAAAGCAGATCTTATTCCCCTCAAAGTAATTATCAACCAGGGAGCTGCTAATTTCATTTTGGATCCATTTATGTGCAAAAGAAAGAACAAAAGGACCAAATGTTACTGCATCTCCAAAGTGTGAGCATTAGTACTTTAGAATATGTAAAACTACTTCTTTAAAGCAAATGGGAAGCTGTGTAACAACTGAGAATTTTTAAGTCTAAGGTTTGCGAGATCTTGACATTCCAGGTTTGTGCTAGAAGAATTCAGTGAGGCTAGCACAAGGTGGCTGGACCACCCAAGGGAGGAGGCGACCCAGGGGTTCCAGCTGATCCCAGGTGCTTTCCCCACCCTGCTCCCCAGGATGGCAGTGAGCCCTTGTGGAATTGTATCACCTTCTGGAAGTAGGCAGCTTCCAGCGTTTCCCATCACCCTGCTCTCTGAGCTATGTGGTACTTACCTCATGGCTCTCAGCTTAGAAATATGGTTTGTAAGATGCAGCTAGTAGGATCAAGAAGGTTAAGGAACTATGTCTTTAGACTACCAGAGAACCAGTCTTCATATGATCTTCTGTAAATGAGCACAGATTCCCATACTCAGAAATGACAACTGTGACGGTCCAGCAGTCAAACAACAATAAGAAGGCAGGAACTGTCATAAATGACATTATGAGAACGTACACTGAGCATCCCACACCATCAAAACGGCATGTTCCTCCACTTCTTTTGTGTGCATAGACTCCAAAGCTAGCACCAAGAGTAATTTTTCTTTAGAAATACTTCCCCTTTTGAACAAGAAGAGTTGTCTGAATGAAGCCCTTCACCTTCATCTATCAGGACAAAAACTGGAATTCTCATCTGGAGCAATAGTTGGGCTTTTAGTTCAAAGGATTGCAGTGGATGTGTGATTTCACTAACTCTGGAAAAATGTAGTTCTCCAAGGGACATGTTATTCCTTCGTTCCCTTCTCTGATGAAAGACTGCAATTGTAGCAGACACAGACTTTCATCAATCAGTGTGTGTTTCCCCATTTGCACATGTTTTACTTAGACCTCATCCAGGCACCCTCCTGCCAAAGTCATTATACTCTTGTACCAAGAACAAACAGGAGTTTTGCCTGAAAAAGGATCTGAGTTATCCCTGAGGCAAGTATTTGAACAGCAATGTATTCCATTAATAGACATATTGAATGGTTAAATGTGTGGCACACAAGTAATGAAGTTACCTTCTGTCACCCAGCTCTTCCAGAGCGAACAGTTACTTCCATTACTTATCATCCTCAGTGTCCCCCTGACCTTTTCTGGAAAGATCAGGAAATCCCGCATGAAGTGCCAAGTTAGGGAAAAGAAGGCAAAAGGTAATCAAGGAGAAAACATAACACCGATAATACAAAAAGCGAAGGCAGCTGACCAGTGTCTGGGCAGGATGCCTAGGAGAGGTGTAATGGATAGGCCTGCAATACAGATTTCATTGGTCTCATGTATCCCATTAGATCCCTATGCAATCAGGTTTGTGCCATGTCTGGAAAGGGCACTGCAGATTTCTGTTCTTCTGACCTTCTCTGTTTTGTTTTACTTTCCACAGACAGAAACCAAGAAGGGAATAGAAAATCATCAGTATGGGGAACGCCTATTGTTTATGAAGCAAAGTCAGCACAAATTAGAATTATGAGAAAAAGTGCAGAAAGCAAGATGGGGTGGGACACACAGAGCTTATGTTTCAGAATAGCACAAGCGTCATTCTCTCCTCCTTTTCCCAAGCAGGACCATAAAAGCAACTCCAGCTTGCCCTGCTCAGACAAAATGTCTGGAAGCAGCAAGCAGCCCTGGTCACTTTTCACCTTTAAATACATGGAAACAAAAACAAGGGATATTTAAAAAAATTTGAAAGTGGAACTGTGCTACCACCTTCAGATCCTCCATTTGGCTGAGAAATCCAGAGAACAATTCTCAGTTCTCTTTCAGGGAAAGATACAGAAACAGATCCCTCCAGCTTTTGCTCCAACATACAGAGGATATTTCAGAGACATAATTGTCTCCTCTCACCTTCGTTTTCTCACCTCTGTTCCAAACCTAGGACATCAAATCAGCTTATTCCAAGAAAACGGAGGTCTGATTTTACAGACAGTTTTCTTTTGCTGCTGGGCTCAATTTACCCATTGCTGCTGTCACTGTTGTTATATACATTGTCATCAAATCAACCATCCAAAACAGCCACCATCCCAAGAACATAGCACTGCAGACCCATTTATTACCAAGACTCAGTAAGTTCCAGCCCAAAAGTTGTCTTTCTTGCAGATTTATTGACTCAAACTTAAGTGTCTCTTCCCTGACTAATACTAGCTCAATCTAAAGCTTCACCTACAGACTGAGGGAGATCTAATTGTCTGTACAAATAGAAACTTAGGACAAGAAGTCAGATTCCAGACCTCTGCTACTCATGTAGCACTTAGGACCATTACCTAGCCAGGCATTAAGAGGCAGACAGCACAAAGCAGCATGAAATAAAGTTAGTGCTCATCAGAGCAATTCTGGTTTTGATTTCTGGTTCTGATTTTCTGTTTTTTTGAGCAATTCTGGCAATTTTCCTGTGCAACATGCTCTAGGTGACCCTGCTTGAGCAGGAGGGTTGGACTAGATGATCTCCAGAGGTCTCTTCCAACCTCAACCATTCTGTGATTCTGTGCTGCCAAAGAAAAAAAAAATATAAACAAGGCATAGCCTCATCTTTTTCTAAGTATCTAGCATAACTACCACTGAGATCTGACTGGATGACACCACAAACTTTGCTAGACTATTTTGTCCTCTCTTCCATGCTTCCCACCCACAGTACCTCCATTCCCCCATTTGGATGGGATGGTTTGGTTTGGGATAGGATGGGATGGGATGGGATAGGATAGGATAGGATAGGTCTGGTAGCCTATTAAACAGAAGTACTGAGGCCACAATGCCCAATTGTGGCCCAGTTAAACTTGGAAATCCTTCTGCTGATAATTATACAAGTTCTAAAATGACTTCTTTCTTTTATAAAGGTTAGTCACAGATGGACAAAGGTGAGATAATTCTAATATTGGCAGCTGAGTTACACATGCTATGCACACACGCACATGCACAAAAAATCCTCATTATTAAATCACAAAGCAATTAAAAAATTAAAAATTTCATAAGACCTCACATAAAAGAAATACAAGTGTTTAATGATGGATTATAAAGTGAAAGTGAGAAAAAAGTAAAAGCTCAGCTGTCTCTGGGGCTTCCCTTGTAGCCTGTGATACTGATTTCTGTCTTCACCCTCACACAAGCCGCAAGAGCTAATAAATTCCTGGCTCCCCTGCCTGGGAGCCAAGGCCGATTAATATCTGCCTACCTTGTTACCTAATTCATTATGGAATAGCAGTTAATTTGATTTGATATTATTTTAATAAAATTCTGTAATATATTAGATTGTTTCAGGCTATCAAAATAATTTTCCAATTATTACGGTTACTCAAGCAAGTCTTTTTTTCCCTTCATGAGCGGCAGTTGGTCTGACTCAGAATACATTAGCTCCTACAGCTTCATCCTGGCCAGAGGAATACGAAGTATATGCATGATTACACCAGAAATGTTATTGCCAGTAATGTGAGCCTGCAGATCAAGGCACAGAGTCCAGAGATTGATGTGCAATTACAGGCCCCCATGACGTCATGACATTGGTGATTACCCTTCTTCTACAACTGAGTTAATGCATTAATATACACATATATAACTACACACACACATACATATATGCATACAAAGATATGTACATCTGTTATACTCTGTATCCTGATACTGTGTTTGAGGGGTAGCAGTACATGAAGGCAACGTGGGATAGCTCTGTATCTGACAGGGAACTCGTGGTACTCGCTCCTGGCATGGCTGGGTAGTTCCAGGGGACTGGTCTGCCCAGTAGGAGCGGGTAGGTGAGCTTTACAAGCAGCAGGAGTTACCCCTTTCATTGTCATCACTTTTGGCCATCTTCAACAAACAGCAGCTTGCATCCCTGCTTTGAAAGTGTCAGGCTGCTCTTTTCTCTTAGTTAGAACAAATGTGTAAGAGTCAGAGCAAAGACAGGACATGGGTGGAACTTGATTGAAATGGGAAAAGGCAGCTTAGACAAAAGAGCAGGTGCAAACACTGCAGCTCCATTTGCAGATGCCTTGAATGTCATAACATTTCTGCCTGCATACATGAGAGCATCATCGTCATATGCTTCTGGGTTTGAGAGGGTAGAATATAAGACCAAATACTATTATGGCTTGATCCTCGTCCCACTGGGCTGGGAAAAAGTTTACCGCCATCTTAACTGGGGGCAAAACTGGATCTGCATTAGCAGTTTCATATAGTACATACAATATAAATATAAATGAGCAGTAACAAAAATAGTAGTTCTATCTTACTATTTTCACAATACTTTCCCCAGAAGGTTTCTGTTCACATGAATATATAAAATACCTGTAATGCCAAGCTGTGAATCAGGAAAGAGTCCTTAATTTTTGAATGGTGGCAGAAGATGCTGTTTAGTCCTCAGAAATAAGAACTGATAGGGCCAGTTGCCTCTCTCTCTCAGATCATCATTCCAGTGGATGTCCTGACCCTGCTGGGGCCCATCCTATGAAAATGTGAAAATTCACTGAGGATTGCCATTCTGTTCTACCATTTCCTTGTGTGGAATGAAAAGAGAAATGCAAGCAGCTGAGTTTAAGCTGCTGATCATTTTTAAATGGTGGTTTTCTTCTTTATGTAGCACATCACAGTTCCTTTTTCATATTCTGTTCCAAAAGTGGTTATTCCCATTCTGTGCAGTTATTTTAGAAGAGTGGTGGCTGACCCATGGGATGTATGTCAAATATGATTTACAACCTTTTTCATGCTTCAGCAGAACTCAGCAGAAGCATAAAGGGATCGGAACATACGCTACATATGTGAAGAAATACAACTTCTTTTTGTTTTAGTATTTGTAAATTGCCTTATTATTTCCATTGCTTAGCTAGTATTAGGTCCCCAAAATAGCACTGTTAATAGCGGCGTGTTGCAACAGCACTCATTGTGCAAAGAGTTTAATATTACAAGTAAATTGTATGCAACCTGCCAAGTGAAAGCACTATCATATCATACCTAGAGGTTAGTGTAATTTTTTCTTCCTTGCATCAATATTTCTTAACTTGGGTGGATTTAAATTGGTGGGACAAAAAGAGTATTGTCTATCACAGGTATTTGTGAAAGATGGAGGACGGTGCAGAATATATGCCTAATATAAGATTATTTGCCTCTCTAATCCTTAACACTGTGAATGTTTCTAAGTTTTTCATTTAAACTCATTGCATCTTTTCCACAAATTATACTTTTGCAAGCACTTAAAGGATAAACTCTAACAAAATTGTTGTCTTGTCAGAAAATCCACATGCACAAAAGACTGTTGGAAGCATTCACTGTTTCACACAGACCTGTTTCAGAAAGGAAGCTCCCTATACAATGTTTGATGACTAGAAAGCTTGGCTTACAATCCATCTCTCACCATTTTTTAGTTCTGGAATGTGTATGCCTTCTTCCATGAATAACAACTTTTTAAAGATATTTTAAATGTATCTATTACATTTTAAAGAAAATAAAACAGGCAAAAAGACTTACAAAGAATCCTGACTTGTCTTTTGAAAAAAATCCCAACATCATTAATGATAACTGAAGGTTTTCAGTCACTCAGTATTAGTGATGCTGAAGTGAATTAACTAAAAGGCTTTCATGCTTCTTGATCTTAGATCCCATGCCTGAAACACTTATTCATGAGAGTCATCCTGACTCACGTAAGTTGTCCTATTGAAGTCAATGTATCTCAGCATGTAAGTAGGGTTTGAAGAGAGGCCTTTGGTATATAAAAGCAGGAAACAGAGTTGGTTCTCATGATTCTTGCATAGAAACTGGTAGGTTTACATTCTTTTCAACAGCTCTAATGCATAATCAGCTAAAATGATTTTAGATCCTAGAAATTGCTACAAGATGGTTATAAATTCTTTGTGTGGACAACTTTTCCATTTGGTGGTAAAACTGGAAGGCCTTATCACTCTTTTATAACTTTCCATATAATTTTTATGAAAGCAAACACAAGGCATCAAAGACTGCAGGCTGAAAACTTCTCTGTGATCCAAACCAAGTGGCAAAATTAAGTCCTGAAAACGTTAAGAATCACATCTGGTTTATGGTCTGCTTAGACAACTTGGCCTGAGAACATAGCACAGGAGTAGATTGATGCAGAATAAGGCTCAAATTTAATAATCAAGCTTGGTTACTGAATACAGCTATAAAGACGGATGAAATGAAAAGTTTGTATTACATGTCTCCACTCATCATGTAACAAAAGAACATAAAATAAGGCGATGTTTTAAGACGAAAAAATAGTCTGCACTGAAAAGGCATCAGATATAAACAATATGGGATTAGATTTTATTACAAACAAGACCAGAGCAAGTATGTGATGTCCATTGTCTGATAATGGGAGCAGGACCTAAGAACCTTAGGCTCTAACTGCAGTCACTTATACATGTGCTTCTCTTTATACAAGGAACTGGAGTTCCCAAAATCCTTGGTTACTTGGTTGCCAACAGACAGCTCTGCCAGGGTATTACCATTGCTAAAGCTCTGTTCTTCACCCTCTTGTTCTCTTCCTCCCTTTCATTCCACCCCTCTTCTCCCTGGGTAGTTATTCTCTTTGCTGGCCAGCAGAGTTGTTGTGGTAATTTTGTATTCTTCTCATCCTATCCTCCTCTGATCGCAAGTCCCCCAATAGAGTGTCTTGAGTGACATACAGTAGAAAAGAACATTTGATTGAAAACTTATATGCTGTGCTATTATAATATCTATTATTATATACATTGTTCAGCTATTAATCCACATATTCTGCAAGTCACAGGACTGCAGTTCCAAGGTGCATCAATATCTCTGAGGCCCTTAAAGGTTCTCCCAAACGTAGCTTTAGTTATAGGAGCAGGAACATGGGCCTGATAGAAGAGAAAATCCTGGAAGTGATATAGCCCTGGGGAAATGTTCTCACAATAACTGATGACAAACCAGACAGAAAAGATTTAATATGCATTTTTTCCATGGTTGGGCTTTCTGAATTGCCCTGTGAAAAACTGGCCACAGTGAAGATTTATCTTTCTAGATATCTATCTTAGGTATGTGCATGACCCCCACTTCAGTGCCTCTGCCTGTTGCTTTCTTTGACACATTAACCTTCCAATATCCCTTCAGAACTGCTCGTCCCATTTAATAGCTGAAGACTTGAGGCACAGCTGGTCAGAATCACACAAGGCGTATGGGTGTCTTGACCTTTCAAACATCTTTCCATATGAACTGCTAGGTAAGTATATCCAAAGAATATCCCCTTACTACTCTATTCATGTCCTCCTTTGCACTTTAATTGCTACTATATTTAGTGAAACAAATACATACCATAGTTCAGTCAGCTCAGCACTAAATCTTCTTTATCATTTGTAGTGACTTAGGGAAGTGTTTTAAATGTTGTTGGACAGTGCTTCTGCTAAATAAATGTCACAATATTTGTCCAATTTTTAGTGAGCTCATCACAGTCATTTTCTTTAAGCAACTTTCAAGTCTTAATATATTTTGGGAGTATAGGGATTGAGTTACTCTTTTTTCTTTTTGCTTTGTTAGGAATGCCAACAAATACCTATGTACAATAGAAACAAACTCTGAGGAGGTCAATATGAATGGAAAAAGTATCATGCAGTATAGTTATGAACATCGACATTTTCTATATAACAAAAAATATAAACAGCAACCCATGAAGAAAAAGGTCAAATAAAGGCAGCCCAGAATGCATCTGCATGGAGGGAAGAACAGAGCATCTGTTAAACAGTGCACAAATGTTACCAGGCTTCCAAAAAATTGAAGCATTCTCTGGGTTTAGGGGCCTCAGTATACTCAGTCTACAACTGTGCAAGCAAGGAAACTTGTCTATGGAAAAAAATGGGTCCTATTTTCCATTTTCTGGGGTATACATTGTGGACAATTATGAAAAAAAAAACAAGAGAAAAAAGTGCCAAACTATTATAAAAATAGAATCAGATAGATTTTCTCTCATGTTAAAGTTTATATTCTTAGATATAACCTCTTAAAGAAATATCTATGATTATCTAAGTATCTCACACCTTTGGGCTGGGATCTCAGTTTTTATGTATGTTCATGAGTAAGCAGGGTATATACTTAACCAAGAGACTTCAGAGAAAACTGCAACAGAAGTCGTATGAGTGATTTTAGAGAGAAAAAGGATGAATGACAGTTAGAGGCACTGTCATAGACTGAGAGAAACAAAATGGAGCACATGCTCTGCCCTAGTCTTCCTCTGTAACTTCTGCTGAGTCATTTAATGTCTAAGTTTCCCAACTGCAACACAGGGGCAATATCATTTCCTGTTTTCATAGAGATGGTCAGAGGGTGGATATATTCAGACACTGACCTGCTCAGATCCTACTGAAAGGGGAACCAACAGCACTCATACTACGTTTAGTCCTCCTAGCCATCAGAAAAGGAGAGACAATGATCCTAGAGGTGAGCAATTGCACAAGAGACATAAAAGTGAGGTAATTAAAAATCATTGGGTAGAACAGTGATGAAGTTTGAGTGATTGCATTCTCCCTAGTTAAAAAAATAACTCCTTGAAGCTTCAATTGGATATAGGATTTTTTTTTTTCATTTGAAGACAGCAGGTGTTGTGCTATATTGCTGAGCATCATTAACGAGTTGCCATGCTTCTCCGTAGCTGTGGATTGGCAAAATGATTTGCTTTAGTATCTAAAACACTTTGTAGTTCTCTGAGGAGAAAAACATACAGATGTGAAAGAAGTTACACGTGGAAAGGCCTGTTTTCTTAGAAGCATAGTGCAGGTTTTAAGTGGTCAGAGCAGGTTACCACGGAGCAGAGCAGTAGGACATGGGTTCTTGTGGATTCCTGAAGACAGTCCCAAGCCCACCTGCTCACCAATACTCATCAGCTGCCAGTGATTGTCCCCACAGATCACTTGGTGGAACAGATCGTCGCATGGGTTTTTCACTGCCCGAATCACTGAGTTTGGCTCAAACTGCTTTTAGCAGCAGTGTAGGTGAGCATAGTTGCTTTCATCCTCAAGTCAGGGCAGACTTTTCCGTAGCTAGTTCTACCAGCCTGGACTTGGGAGCGGTAAACTTTTGAGAGGGGTAATAACAAATAGCCTGGGAAAAGAGCAGGAAGAAATGCTTAAGGCTATTTTGGCAAGTTGTAAACTAATTCGATGCCTAATGTCCTAGCTATCTCAGAAGCTTCACAAGTTCTTTGTCCTGTCTTAACAAATTCCAGGCATATAGGCAATCCTGTAACCTGCTGGTGTAAGCAGAGTTATTGATTTTATTCTGAACTTTTTGCAGAGTTCCTGCTCTATCCTAGTGCATAGCTCTATGAATGAAATAGCCTATCTACCTTCGCGGCGCGCACTTAGACAATGCAAAAGTCTTATCCTTGAAAATTCCCATTGGATAGGAGGAACTCAGCAGAGAGTAAAGAGCAGGACTGCAGAACTCAACGAGGAGGTCCTTCACCTTGCTGGTCCAGTCAAACAGTTAGATGGAAAGGCAACACTTGAAAGGGTTCTCAAGGGACATAGGTGGATAGCATCAAAACTTTTTACCTCTTCTTAAAATCTTCAAAAATATACTGGAATGAATCCTCTTCAGTTGCCAGCATTTACTGCTCTGTTTTTCAGCTGAGAATCTGCTTTGGTGAAAACTTGCTGCACGTCATCATTTCAATTTCCTGTGAACTTTTTCAAGGATTCAAAAAATTATAAACATAAGAAAAGTGGAAGAAAAGGGACTGACACATATCGATGTGTAAGGAAGCAAGTTCAAGAAAATCCATGTAGATAAAAGAGAAGGTATTGGAATTCATGATGGTCCTTCCTTCCCAAGAGTTTATTCCACAAAGGTGGAATGATACCTTCAAAATATGTGCAAATTGTTTGCACATAAAGGTATTATCTTCCATATAAGATATTGATATGATTCAGGTAGCCATTTACCAGGAAAGACTTCAAGAACTGAATAAGCATCAAATAATTAATAAGAAAAAAAGAAGTAAAAATGGACCCTCCATTTAAATTTCCCATGTGATTTGTTTAAAAGAAAGTCAAAAGAATGATAATTGGACTCAAAAGAGAGTGTATAACAGAAATAGAAGGGTGTTTTGAGATTCTAATTTTAAATGGTATAATGCTAGATTGTGAGCATAGTTGCAGCAGAGTAAATCTGAAGTAAATCCATTGACATCAAATCAAAGCCAGAGTCACTGAAGTCAGTTACTCCGGGTTTAGAGTGACATAACTGAGATTAGAATTTGGTCCGTGCAATTTAGATAAGGTCACTGTATATACAGGAAAATAGAAACCAAGACATCAGAGTGCACTGAAACTAAGTTGATAAATAGAATGGAAGAGTTTACATATGAGAGTATTAGTTAGAGTTGGAAGAATAATAAAGATTATTAAGAGGTGACATGACTGAGGTATTTAAACTAGCTGAAGATTATTATAAAATTAAGCTTGATGATCTATTTGAGTTTGCTGAAGAGACCAGAACTAGAGGATTTAGGTTTAAGTAAAGTGGGAATATATCTAAGAAGAATTTAAGGAAGTACTATTTTACAGAGACTGATATAAGGATGGAAGATACTTCAAATTCAAATGTTAGAGATATGCCACATTAATATTTAAGCAAATACAGTAAGACTATCCGCAACCTAATACATTTAAGTGGTATCAGTCAGATTTATGCTTGGAAATAGCCAATCACCTTTCACAGAGAGTTAATTTTCACTAATTATTTCTTCCCCTGAATATCTAGATCAAATCAAAGGGATATAGCTTAAAGCAGCCTAGTTTTTTGAAGTACTGTAATTTTTCACTAGGTGAGGATCTGATATTCTGCTTTTCTTCCTTTCAGCAAGACTGGCAAACCTCGGGAGCTTGGCTGCACATGACGGCAGGGTGGCATGAGGAAGCTTACACTTCTGTTGTCCACACATAACCTGTTTGGTGGGTAATTAAAGGATTTTAATCTCCACCACAGTCAATCTGGCACCTTTCAAAAACTCAAATAGACAGGCGCTGAAGAAGAAAAAGAAAGAGAACTCCTAATTCTCATTAAAGGAGAAAAAGATTAATTATGTGGAAAAGATAAATAAATCTTATGAACAGTGTATCATTGTTTTCTGGATCACTACTGAAAAAGATAAAGCTCAGCCTAATGTCCCACCTCCAGTGACCTTTTTAAGATCAGGACGCTGACATTCATTTTAAAACTAGATTTGATTTTACCAGCTGTTAAGAAAATATCCAAGAGGGGGTAATCTGGAGGGTTTGTAATCATGAAGATGAACCTTTCTGTGACATGTTTGACTACCTGTGGAGCACCATTCATGCTTCTCCAAGCCCTAAAGTGAATTCTTCATGATGCAGAGGTCTCTGCAGACTGACAGAAAGGCGGGGGGAGTGATCATGTTAACCAGAGTTACGTGTATAATCTTCAGCCTTTCCCAACACCTGCAGCTCTGCTAAAAATCTACCTCTTAGGTAATTTTTTTTTCCATGAGGGGAAATGATGAGAGAGTTTAATCAGTGCTGTGCATCTCTGAAAATCAAAAGATAAATCTGGAAAAGATCAAATAGACAAATGACCCAAAGGTTTACTTCCATAGTCCCACCATGGGTCTTTTTTCCTATGCATTTTCCTTTCTTTCCCAACACCGCAAACCTGAAGAATGTGACTAATCAGGCTAAGGGAAAGTCTTAAGTCTCTTTAAGGGATGGCAACAGGAGAGAGTGCTAATATTTTATTTTTATTTTTCTTCCTCATATCAGATTATATTACAAGCCTCAACTGAAGTAGTAAGTAAGGCATTTTTAAAATCTCAGTCTAGTTCAATTCCTTGCAGATCATCTTTTAGTTCAGACTGCAGTGCCTCAGTGTTGTTGCTGTGAAAGTTACATGCACCATGCTGAAAAGCTTTGTCATGAGGACTTCATCAAGGGGTGCTGTTCCATCAGGTTCATTCTGATAGCAGGTTTGAGGCTGAATTTCCTCAGGATACAAACAGTCTAGAGTCCGTTGCTCGTGAACAATTGTTCTTAATCCATTAAGGCATCAGCTCTGTAGAACCTGTTTCAAAAGGTAAGAGCAAACCTGCCATTCGTACACAAGGGAAGGGCAGGAAATAGCACTGCTCCATGCATCCTAGCCTCACGGAAGTGGGATCTGCAAGGCAGGCAGCAAAATGTAGGACATACATAGGTGGAATTTCAGATGAGCTGCTGCCACCTTTAGTCTTTTTTGGGTGTGTTCTATTGGCTATTTTCTGTTATTCCATTCAGGGCTGGATGCAACCCATTTTATTTTAAGCAGTTAGTTGAATGTCAGAAGCAAAGTCATTCTAGTTTTCCCACACAGTTGAGAGAGAAAGTTGGCTGTCTTCATAGGGAAGTTTGATCTTGGGTAATCCACAAGACAGATTGCCCTGTAGACCTGTACTCGTCTTTCTCCTGGCCATACAGGAAGGCTAGAGTGGCTCCATTTCTAAATTAAATATCTCAGTTACATTCCCAGTTAGATCCCTTAGTGTGTAAGTGATCGTGAACTCCATTCCTAAGGCACCTAAGTCTTTTCATAAATCGTATAGTGCAGATTTGTGAATTTGACCCTTGACATTTGGCACCTAAAATTAGGCCTAATGACACTGAACGATACATTGCCAAACCCAATTATGTCTCTTTCCCAGGGTCACAGAGGCTGTTATTTGAACTCATCCTGCTCATAACCTAGGTTATTATGCTGGTAACTGTAGCATCTTTCTGATTTTTTTATTTTCATTTCCTTGAAGAAATAAGATTGATGTCGTTATGTGAGCTGGCTGGCTTTCCCCACCCTTGAATAACTTTCCCCCTGAATAACTTCACTGACCAATTTCAGCTACATGCGAAATCATAAAAATGCTTAAATTACACACTTTTATGAGTATGTTGGGCATAGAGGAGACCAAACCTGATGCCTCCACTGAAGAAAAAAGAAACAGAAGTTGATCGTTATCCACTTCGTTTGTCAATGGCCAACTAGTCAATCAACATGTGTGTTGCCACAGCTTGTGCTGCCTTTTACTCATGGGGGATAAAATAAAAGACAGAGGAAGAACCTGCAAAACTGTGCTGAGTAAGGGGAAGTTTAGGGGACAAAAGTTTTTTATCTTCCCATACATTGGAAGCCAGACTGCATTTGTCCATCCATAAGCAATGGAACAACTTATTCTTCCAATGTGAGTATTGTAGATGTGACTTTCTCTTACTATTCTTTTTTTCAGCTAGCATCTGGTAGGTAAATATAGGAGGAATTTGAAATTGCCTAAGTTGAAAAGATTTACCTTTTATTTTACTCTGCTAAGATTATTTTGGTTTTGTGTTTAATTACAAGGCAGCATATATATGTTTCTGAAGCTCCACTTCTACACAAATGTTACAAACTGGTAAAGTCTATTTCTATGTAAGACCGAGGTTGGGAAGATGGCAAAAACAGTTTTCGGGGCATACTTAATAGATCAAAAATGCCCCTGCACTTGAAGACAAATGCAGAACTAGTACAAACACATCTGGCCAATTCATGCTTGTCTGATATATTTAAATCGGGTAATTTTATGCTGGATCAGGTATTATTTGTTCTTCTGCAGCCACCAATGGGCCATGATGAGCACTATACTGCGTGCTCTGGTTAATTTGACATAAATACCATACCTGAGCCAGATCACATTTTGTGCAGAAGAAGATCCAGTTGTGCACAGATCTGATATTAATGAGTACAGAACTAAGCTTTAAACTACAGCTTTCCTCTCTGTGTAAGTAATAAATGGAAGCCAAGTGCAAGTTACTGGTTATATATTTTCTCTGATGCTAGCTAATCTCCCATATTCAGTTAAAGTACATAAGCATTTTAACACTATCTCCATATGCATCCCACTTCCCATTACGCTATCCCAAATATTGCAGTGAGCCTGCTTTACTCCCAAATGATTATACATAATGGGCAATGTCTGGATGGAACGGTTGTGGTGAGCAAATGAGCTATCTCAAACTTACAGTGTGGGACTGCTCTACCGTTAACAGAATCTTCTGACATTATTTCAGGCAGTGAGATTATTAAGTGTCAAAGGGCTAAATAGGAGAGGTCATTCAATGGAAATATCAGCAAACTCAGTCATATAAAAAGCATAGTACCAAATGCTCTATATGACATTAGCCCATCTCTGCCATAAATATATAGAAGATCTGTTTCCAACTAGCGCGTGAAATAATTTTTTTTTTTTTTTAATATGTGGTATGGTAAAACAATGCCACCTCTGTGCATAACAGCCTGCAGTGGAAAAGGCTTGCCTTGGCCCTGGCTTGCTGCATGAAAGAGGGAAGAAGACATCTTTAATAATACAAATAAAAAGGGGACTGGATAGTTTAAAGGAAATAGGGGTGCTAGATAGGTGGGAAAACAGATTTTAAGAATATTCATACAGAAAAGCTGAGCCATGAGGAAGGGTAGCCCATCTTTCTTTTCTGATCGAATGGTCTGAAATTGTGTGTATATATAAATATTTAATGGAAATAATTTTATGGAAGGCAGAAGAAACCAAAATATCAAGCCTGATATCTAACCTTTTCTCCCTGGGCTTCAAAGAGGCAGCTTCAGTCCTTAGTGAAGCCTGATCTCAGTTTATGAAATAGGCTTTGTGCTTAGGGGGAATGGGAATAAGAAATTCTCTGAGATGAATTTAACCCAGCTGGATCACATTGGATAACAAAGCTAACCAGACTGAGTAGTGTCTCCATCTCAAAAAGAGTGCTGCTTTTTCCTTCAGTCCACTGAATGAAGGATTAAGAAAAGCAGAAGAGATCAACACAAGGCTAAATAGGATCTCATTGGCAAAATATTGGATTATAAATCAGAGATACTGGAACTACTCGCTCTGTCATCGACCTACTACTTGAATCTGTTGCTTCACACTTGGCTGCCCATGCTTACCCACACCCACTTCTTCCTATTTGTTTGCACAGTTTCTAGCACAATGGAGCCTACACATGCTGCTGTAATCAAATAACAGTAGTAGTGGCATGGAATAGCATAAAAGCAGGAGTGTGTGCAGGAGAAAAGAAAACGTTGCACTCCGATAGTCTGTTCCACAATGAGACAGTATTTCACAAAATTAACTCATGAAACATTTGGAAGGATTGAAAAGGAAACATTTTTTTTTTTTTTTAGCTGAGATATGCTGTTGTCAGCTATAACTGAGGCAAATACTTTAAAAATAATATTATTGAACTGTCAGGAACAAGACAGTTAATTCCTATGCATGCATCCCCACCTGTAAACAACTGTTGCTGTGAAACATGCCGTGGTATTGAAAGCATTACATCTTTTAATACAGTTAGAAGGATCTACCATTAAAAGGATGTAACGGAGCCGGTTCTTATTTGCCAGTATTGCTTTGGAAACGGAGATGAAAGAAAGGATGCCTTTGTGGTTAAGGAAAAGGATTATGCCTACAATGCAGGAAGTTCAGTTCCCAGCCTAGTTCATCGATGCCCGCGTGACCTTGAGCACATTTAAGCTCATCTTCTCAGCGGAGGTGCCTAAATTCCCTTATGGAAGGCACTGCCACAGGATGTGCCCGGGCCAGAGGTGTATTAGGGGTCCAGAGAGGGCTTAGGCTCATGCAGAGAGGCTATGCTTTAAAGATCACGATCTGGATGAACTGGAGGCTTTCAAAACTCATCAAATCTCTAGCTACAGAAACTGAAAAGCTATACCAAGGAAAGATCTCTTCATAGCTGCTTTTTTACTGAACTTGCCTAAGCTTTCATTACTGCCCCTGCCAGAGACAGCATACTTGAAAGGTTGTTCTTCTGCTGAGGAGTGGTTGCTTTTCCATTACAGTTATGTTTTGATATAGATGATAGAGTGCAGGTCTCAGATTCAGATCTCTGCAGGTCTGTTTCTCTCGTCCACTCTTTGTCTGTCTTGACTAATTCAGCTGTAAGTTTGAATCCTCACCCCACTGGTTTATGGGAGTTTTGCCATTAACTTCAGCAAGCAATGATTTTCTCTTACATTCTTTGAGCCCGGGACTGTCTCTTACTATATGCATGCAGTGACTAGCTCACTGGGGTGCTGAAGTCAGTTGGGACTGCCATATGCTACTGTAATGCAAATAAATGTTAGTATACATGAGGGAGGAAGGGAGATCAGATAGGTTTTCTTTTCACCATTTTATAAAAATCCTCTCAAACTTGAAGAACTTCAAGATATTACATTAAAAACAGTCTTTTTATTGTTTTTTTCATGATCTTCAGCATTTTTCATGTGCAGACTAAGGGCTAACAGCTCTTCATGGTATTTACAGGAAAAATGCATAGTGCTAAATAATCGCCACATGCCGTGGGAGGAACTTCTGTTTTTAATAAAACCAATCTGGTCTGGATCAATGATAAGGGGGCATAATTTCTTCAAATGGGAAGCCAGCTCTTTGAAAGGAATCTTACGCTCTACATTAATCTCAGAACAGGGTCTGCAGGGTAAGCAGAAATCAGAGGCCTGGCCGGTTTTATGAATAAAGAGTATTGTCCCTGTCTGAGGGAAAATTCTGGCAGAGATTTTAGTGGGAGAAAGAAGGAAGGTTTTGGTGAAGGGGACAGAGGGCTCTGGCATGTAAGGGGCTAGTTGCTGCTCTCCTCTTATTTAGATGTACAAGCATGTATTCAAGAGTCTATTTACTGGCTGATTAGGAGACGGTTAAGAGGATCCTAGCTCTTGCATTAGGACTCTCCTTTTTCAGGGAAGAAATCCTCCCAGTCACAAAGCAGGGAGCAATAACTGAGCAGAATACTTACCCACATCGCGGCCACCTTTAGCACAGCCAACTCATGTAACGTACATGATCGCCTCTGTTCCCTGCTGGCTGCCCCTCAGCTCTTTTCTCTCCTGTCGGCATATGTGTGGGTAGCCCACTGCAGATAAGCCAAGCCCCACTGATACCAGCGGGGTTTTGTTTGGTCACAGTGGTCCTCCTGCAAGAAACAAGTAGCAGGACTGAGGCCATGTATTCCTCTCCCCTGCGCTACGTCTCTGTCTTGCCGCTGGATCGGCTCTGTAGTCTCCCATCTACTGTTGCTGCAGAAACAGCCTGAGTATTCTCCACCCTGCATTTCCCTCCACAATACAATCAATCTAATCTTACTGTCCATTGTTTCTGTAATTAATGCATCGGTGCATGACAAATCGCTAAACAGAGGAAAAACAGAGACTTGTCTTCGGATTGTATGGATCCCAAACATAAACAACAGGGAGGAGAAGAAAAAGACAGCAGGTGTCCGAACAAACCAATTGTTGTCACTGGACTGAAGGACGACATTCAAATGCTAGCCACCGCAATCAGCTCATTTTAAGCAGCTGTCCAGTTGGACAGCTACATTCACTGTAAACAAAGTGGCTTGCAACTAGAAATGCTTTTACTTGCAGTTCACTTTTCCGAATATTACAGGTGAACCAAATCACATGGATTATCCTTCATCTTATTAGAAACAATAACAGTAAGTGCTTATATAGTGCCTTTGTGCCACTGATCTTAAGGCACTCTATAAACTCTAAGCATCCTTCTTTTACAGTTAAGGAAGAGCAGAGCAGTGATTTACTCAAGGTCACAACACAAATCATCAATAGACTGAAGAACAGACCTTACATTTCCTGATTTCAGCTCTACGATCATACTAATAGATCTCAGTTGCACCTCTGGGAGGAGGGAAGAAAGAACAGACATTTACCAGCTGATTTCGTCGGGGTAAAATAGATGTATGTAGAAACTTAGGAATTAAAAAAAAAAGTTGCTTTAATTTTATGATTGCTTTTGCCCACTTTCTTACAGCCTTAAGTGCATGTGCTGCAAATGCTACCTTGGTTGTGCATTATTACATATTTCAAGCAGCAAGTTGTCTAAAAGGATATCACATTTTTCCAGTTTCTGCTATGGATGTGACCACCAGGAAGATGAAAATTTCCACGGTGTTGGAAAAACAGGCAAACAAGACAAATAGTCAACATAATAATTACTTTTTGGCAAAGTACTTAGTGGAAAATTTCCCATTGTCATTGTACAAACAATGCACGTCCTCCGATGAAACAGTGTCAGAGTGTTTCTCATAAACATATGCACCATTTCCTCTTCAGAAAGGTCAAGTGAAATAGCATCTATCAAGAGGAGCATTTAGAAGCAACCCACCTGTTATTGCCAGCCAACATCAACTCACAGAAATGATGCTACTGTGTCTTGGGGAAAGACAACCGGTTCTCTGTCTGCAGTGGATTTTTACTGTGTAAGAGAAGAACACAGTGGTTGAAATTCACAGTCCATTACTTTAAACTAGTTTTGTGAGGCCTATTAAAGTCAGTAAAGATAAATCATTGGGGTTTGGATTAGCACCCTCAATGGGGGTATTGAGAAGATACATGCTAGTGTATAGAAGAAGTCTTTTGAGGCTTCCTACAAGATCCTTCCACTTAGGGGACTTCATTTTTGAAACAGGAGTTATTGTAATAAATAGATCTTTCTAAAATATATGGTACAGATCAGCCAAAAGTTGTGGGTTTGAAGCAGGGATGGCTGGATAAAATGTTTCAGTCTGTATTATGTAGGACAACAGACAATATCATCATAATGATCCCTTGGACTTTGTGAACCACAGATATACACAGTGCCTTTCAATCTGTGATCTGTGGATCCCTCAGGATCCATAAATGAGATCTACAGATATGGGAAAGAGGATGGTAAAAAGCAAATTCATATTCACTATACAGCGTACCATGGCTGTGAAATTTCTAAAGGAGAGAGGGGCATACCACCAGGGGAAAACACTTAAGGGTCTGCCAATAAGGAGAGATTAGCTACCAAGGACCTGCAAATAATGACTCTCAGGCAAACAAAACTTTGATCTTTCTTTCAATTCTGATTTAGACATTAAAAAAATAAAAAATCTTCTGTGAAAACAAGTTCCTCGGCCTTCATTCAAATTTTCAGTCCCTTCCTACTACTCTGAACCACCTCTCTGATATGAGAGCTATAAGTATATTTACAAATACGTATATATATGTATGTATGTGTGTGTATATATGTATGTCTTTTGAAGAAAAGACGTCTTTCAGAAATCTGCAGTCAAAAGATATTGAATAGCTCAGAGGAGAACAACGTTAGGGTAGGCACAGAACAAACAGTACTGAAAGATTTCTGAGTGACTATAATGCATATGACAAATGGAAAGGACCACTGAAATCTGAAGTCTTACAGAAGAGAAGTTTAATATGCAGGTCATCAGGGAGAGGAGGAAGAATTGGACAACTTGAAGGGCAAATCATGCTAGAATTCTGTGCAAGCCACTGAGCACAAATGACAAATACACCCAGAGACAACACTCATGTGCACAAATACACTGTATAATCCCAGACACTGTAAGAAACATGTAAACATTCGGGCTTGCATTTGCATACGTTCTGAAAATGCTAGAGGACGTTTTTGCAAGCTATTATTTAATTTATTCACAAGGTCGATTTGGAAACAGTGTTCAAATGTTTTGGAAATACGTCAAGAGCATCGTTTTATTTCATGGTATTGTGGTAGCATCTCATTATATTAGTCTAATATGAATGCAGCACAATGAAAAAGCTATTGTGATGGTATTGTACTAGGCTAAATAGATAGAATGTTATTACAGTACTGTAAAAGGAAAGATTTATAGGTTAGCATTTGCATTTATGAGTAAGAACCGCACATGCAGCTACATACTTGGCTATTTGGACTCCCAAGGAAACTAAACCTTTTGTTATACTGAGAGTAATCAGGCATTTGAGTAGCGAATGACCCTGCTATTGCTGGAAAAAGCAGCAGCAAGGGAGAATAGATGTGTTCACTCTGCTTCTGGACCAGTTTCTTCTGCCACACTCCCCAGAGGTTTTATCCCCTTTCAACAAGGGCATCAGGATCCCAGACAGAATAGGATCCAATTGCACATCAAAGCAGCCTTTTTTTCAGGATGGGCAAGTAAGGGGCACAATTTTAATTTCTGCAGAAATACAGCCAGCAGGGAAACAAAACTACCTTGTATGAGCTGAGGAATGTCTTTGCTTTCTCCAGGATATTTTCCACTGTGATTAGAGGCAGAGGTGATGGAGGAGAACTGAGGGGATTTCTCTGTTTTCTTGCTAGAAACATTTTGCCAAATACAAGAGGTTTTCAGTAGGGCATCCCTTCAGCCCCTTCTCTCCCTTGCTGAGTTTAGATTGATGAGATCTATGAGGTTTCTATTTAAAGGAGAAAATCCCTGTTTGCTTTCAACTTAGGTGAATAAGTCTGATCTGAAGAGGAAAAAAATCCTGAGAGCCAGATCCTCAGTGTTGTAATCATAACAGTTGTGCTGAATGGAATGAAACTACACTGATTTATAACAGCCAGGATTTGGGCCCAATACCATGAACATACCTTTTTAAACAATTTTTGTTAAATATCTCTCCCTGCTAGGAACCTTGTTAGTGTCTCTTGAAAGATTTGACATTGCAGTGATAATTGCTTCCAGCTGGAAATCTAATATAATAATGAGCAGTCTTAAAAACAGGAAATAGTACTCAGGTGTGGAATAAGGGCCTGATCCAAAGCCTGTGGAGGTCAGTCAGGATCATACCGTGGCTTCTGGTAGGTTTTGGATCTTTCCTAAAAAGAAACATTAAAAAGTGTCTGAAGGGAGCAGGTGCTTCATTCTCAGTGAATGTCACTGAAATGTGAGATGTTAGTTCCCTTAGGTACTACTGAAAATCCCATATAAGATCACAAATGTGGGAAACTTTCACATGTAAGTGACTTCTGGAAAGGGATTTTAACTGCACAATTTGCAACTGAGCTGCACTGATTCTGGAGGCTTTCAAGAATCACATCCTCATGTTCACTTTGGCAATATGCACATTGATCAGATGTCAGTCTGAAAGAATGGCATTTCAATATTACTGCATGGAACAGAAATCTTTGTTTAACCAGGGATACCAATCTGTGAAGTGCTGAATGCTTTCTGTCAGATGCTGAATGTCTTCGTCAATGCTGAAATCACTCCACATCCTGTCAAAGGTGGTCAGCACAGCAGGAGAACAGTGTTTTGAAAGAGCATTCCTCTACCGTTGTGAAGGAAGGACTGTCGGTTCACACTCTTCCACACCAGCAATGAGTTCATCAATGTATGGCCTGTCTTACTAAATTATACACTAAAATTAATTAATATTTTTAAAAGATTTACAGTTATTTTCTTTCTCCTCCTTCTTCCAGTGGTGGAAACAGCTTGCTTCACACTTATTCATAAAATCTAGCACATTTTTTCCATTAATGCCAGCTCTGCACCACACCGCTCCTGCCCACCTGGCAAGAGAGTACCAGTGGTCGCATTGCTCTTCTTCCTCAGAAACTGCCCTGTGATGCAGAAGGCACTAATACTACAGTCATATACTGACTGTCTTACCTTTCATGGAAGCCAAGTCCATCTTTATTTGCAAAACAACTTATTTATTATAGGAAGGAATAAACTGAAATGTTTTCAGGGGGCATGCTGCAATCCAAGGTGCGCTATTATCACACTATTAGGGTTTCATCTGAGCTACTTTAAAAATATCTATTTATCTTATTCAGAAATAAAATCTGCTGAGAAATCCACCATACAGAAATCATATGATACCTAGATCCAAAAAAGAAAAACTAAAAGGTCTTGCTCATGAAATCTTTTTTCCAAAAAGTCAGAAGGGCCAGTCTTTAAGATGCTTATTACAAATTTTATCTAACATTAATTTCATGTAGAGAACATTCGTATGTTAGGAGAAGTTTTAGCACTGTATAACTAACAGATACATGGAAGAGTAGACAGGCAGACAAACGTGTATTGATTAAAAACAACAACAAAAAGAGCTTCACATGTCAGAGAAAGGGCTTTCCCCTTTTCCTAAAATATATGTATATAAATATAAATCTTTGAGATGCTGGATGCTGTGGGATGCTTAAGTTCTTTTTCTCTGTTTTTAGTGACATTATAACATCAATAAGAAAATTAGTTATTACAAAGA